CAGCCCCCTCACCAGGTCATCACCTGTGGCCAGCACTACGTCCAACAAGGCATCCCCCCTGGTGGGGCTGTGCACCTCCTGGGTTAGATGGAGGTCCTGCACTCTGTCTAAAAACCTATGCGAGCGTTCAGACCTGGCTGACTGCTCTTCCCAGCAGATGTCCGGGAAGTTCAGGTCCCCCATGATTACCACATCCTTAGCCTTCACTACCTCTGTGAGCTGACCCATATGGGAAGAGTTAATTATTTTCTTACCTTTGCATTTGCTCATCCCTTGTTTTGTGAGTTCATGGCAACTCCAATATTCATTGCCCATAATTGAAAGTAATCTCACAACATCTGATCCTTGAAGGTAATGAACGACCTAACAGAGAATGAAATGTGTGCTGAAAATCAGAAATTAACTTCAATAAAAGTATGAAACTTTCAGAACTGAAGAAGAAAAGCAGGCTATTCAGATAAATTCAAGACAGGAGTGGATCAGTTTAGGATTAGGCTTATTTTAACATTTCTCTGACCTCCCCCTAATAAATATACATTGTAATGCCAAAATATAATTATTCATGATATAGGGGCTTACTCTGACTTGATGTAAATCAGGTCGACTCCACTGACTTCCCATTGAGCTATGGCAGTAATTACTACTTGAGCCTAAAAGGCCAAAGCCTCCCAATAAACATTTTACTCCCCACTGTATCTCCTGTGTGTGCAGTAGGTGGCAGTCTCAGAATTAGTTAGATTAGTGTCAGTTTACCCTGCTTTAGCACATCTGCAGACTTAGTCACCTGTCTTCTTCTTTTATTAAACTGTTCCCTGCTGTCTCTTGCTCCTATCATGTAAAATAAATGATATCTAATGTCATTTAGCTCACACTACCTATGTTTTTTACCACTTTGTATTTCGATGAACAATTAACATCTGCTTTCATTGTTTTCAGTTCATTATGTAATTGGAGCAGGGCTTCATAGATTTAATTTTTAACTACATTGTAGAAAACATATTTCAGGGCTTTCTTGAATATCTTTTTTCCTCTGTTAGAGAGGGAGATGTGGAATTAATTCAGGGTGACTGCCTTCTTCCAGAGAAAATCCCATGGGATGGGAGGATCCTTGGAAAGCTTCTGATATCATCATGTTTTTCCCAAACCCATTCCCTATCCCTCCCTTTTCCTGCGTGACTGGGCTGGGGGGGATGCACACATATCCAAACACTCACCCTTTTCACAAAAAGATCTGTAAAGAATAAGATGGAGGAGGGAAAGGATTAGAGAAACTGACCTTTCCTGCCAAGCAACCAGGACAGAACTACACACGGAAGAGTTCATCTGTGCATGGATCTAAAAAGAGACATTGATTTGAGAAATTAGTTGATTTAATAATTTTTTCATTTTAATGCATTTCTAATTCCTTTTTGCATTTTTCTTTGTTAAAGGTCTTATATTCATGGATATGTGTGTGCATTCGCCCATGGGTTTGAAATCTGTGTATACATACAGATACAAACACAGAAATCCAAACTAAAAGAAGTTAGGAGCCTAAATGCCATTAAAAAGCTGCACCCTGCTGTAGAATATCGTGATGCTGTGTTAAAATATTTATAAATGTGCAAAATGTCTGGATCCTGGTCATCCTAAGGCCATAGATGAGATTTAAAATCATCTTAGAGGCAGTTTGTTTCATTAAAAGCCAATGGGCTCCTAAATATTCATTCCACCCACAACTCAGACTAGTTGTCAAATGTGGAGGGAGAGTAAGTAAACACATACACTTGGTAGGAAACTGTCTCCAGTGTCTGAGTAGTCTGGCATTTAGAGGAAGCACTTGTAAAATTCTTATTGCAAAAGTTTTCAGTCATTTCTCCAACACTCATAATGCCAAATTCCTCCCCTGAAAAGCTTCAACAACCCACTGCATATTCTCCATGCCAGAATACTATCAGGACCAGACTCACAGACTATAAAAAGAGGATACCAGTGCAGTCCATGTGTTTTCTTCAGCTAACTGCTCCCATCCTGCTTCCCTTGGGACACAAGTGGCACTAAAAAGGATTAGGAGAAGCATGTCCATGACCCACTCCAGTTCACATTTTACTTCTCCTTGAAGTAGTGCTAAGGTGTATTTCCTGCCTGTACTACAGAGCTCCCAGAGGTAAAGTGCACTGTACCAGAAGGATGCACAGTGCCTACTAGATGCAGTGAACCCAGAAAGTTTCTTTCACATTTAATTTTGCCCTAAATACTTGTGGTCCTTTACACAAAGACCAGTAGCATAAAGTATTCTAAAAAATATGCTGCTGTTTAGGTCGGTTAAGCCAGTTATGTCTAAAGCATTCCAAGGGGAAGAGAGGGTGGGAGAGATATCAAGAATATGAAACGGAGAAACCGCTAAAATTTAGAAATGGAATTAGCATAAAAACCCCTCCCTGGGCTGACTAGTATCTTCCTTATACATGACCCATATTTCAGTTGAGAACATAACTGCATACTGCTGATCCAACAAAAAGAAAGGTTTGGTTGTTATATTGAGGAAAGAGATTTTCCCCCCTTTAGTCTGTTGAAATACTATCACTTCTATCACAGACAAATGGAACTCCAAATGAAAGCCACATCCAGCTGTTCATTGCTGCTTTGAATTCTGAGGAACGCGTCCTACTCAGCATGCTTGGAAAAGCTCATGTAGGCACCGCTGTTTAATCACTGGACTCCAGATGAAAGTGCCTCTAAAAACAGCATACAACCACTACCAATCTCTGGGATTCAAATGGATACAAATGGATTCAAATGAATAAAAATAGAACAATATGCTGTGGAAGCCACCAACATTAAATGCAAAGTTCAGTAAGGAATCACTGTAGCTGTCTCAGATGGTTCACAGTTTCCTTGGTGCACCTGCTAATGTATTGGAGGTCAGGGGGAGGGTATTAACTTTGTTTAAAAGAAGAATCCCAGAGCATGGATGTGATGAACACTGAGCTCTGATTAGATTTGTATTTCAGTTGTCGTGATTATGGCGCATTTAGGTTTTCAGAATCCCAATCCAAAGAACATGGGCATGATGAGATTTTATCCAGATTTTTTTAAATTTCTTCTTTGGATCACTGCACTCCAAGGCTGGCCCCACTCCAGCCCCTGGCTCCAGGTCCCCCACGGTGGTGTGGGGCCCGGGTCAGTGTGGGGCTGGGAGGCGCAGGTTCATGAGGCCCACCAGTGCCAGGCAATGACCCCACGTGTGGGGGAAGGGGCGGCTGCACAGGTCCAGCAGGCCCCGGCCCTGGCCCCAATCCCAGCTCTGCTCCGCTCCCACCTGATCCCTACCTGGTCCCAGTCCCAGGCCCACTTCGCCCCCCCAGGCTCTTTCTCCTCACCCCACAGACTTTTTGTGGGGGGGCATGTGCTCAGCCCCCCCTCAAAAAATTTTTCTCCTTCCACCTATGGTGGCTGACTTCCTGGCCAATAGGACATGCTACAAGAGTTCAAAGTGGGCAACTGAAATGAGCACATCTTCTGAGCAATAGCTGCCCAGCTGGCAGAGCGGGGGCACCAGAAGACATGACAGCAGTACCACATGAAGGCCAACTGTGCAGCCACAGCCTGCTGGCCCACAGGCACAGGTACCTCTGCTTCAGTGCCTTTACCACAGCCCAAGCAGCCATGAAGTCCCCATCTGGGTCTGGCAAGCATATAGCCATAGGGCCACAGCTGCAAAGGGACAGATTTTGTCAGAGGTGGTAGCAGGTCACAGCCAGGCAGCAGCCCCCACTGCCACACTGCTGCAGTGGGTAGAGGCCACTCTAGGTCAGGGATGCTGCAGCAGTCCAAGTGGCACAGGGGGACAGTGTCCCTAGATACCAACTGGCTGGGCCTCAGAAGCTCCTGAGGGCAAGTAACCCTGAGCTGCTCACTAGGGCAGCTTTTTATACTGCTGAGGCCAGCACAGGTGCTGGCCCCTACCTCCAGATCCCCCTGACTGAAGATCTGGAAGAATCTGGGCAGGGTCAGTTTGCCCCAGCAGCACAAATTTGCCTCACACCAAAATATATGTTCAGGCCCAGGTGCTGAGGCAGAAATCTTCAGCACAAATTTGTGCTGATGTTATTTGAGCTGCCGCAAGTGCTGGTGTGTACTAGGGCTGTGCCAAACTTCAGTCCCTGATAAGATTTGGTGGAGATTTGGCCCAATTCAGTGGCCAAATCTCCAAATCCAAATCAAATCAGAGGACCCTTTAATTTTTCTGAATCAAATCAGAACCCTCTGAATCAATTCGGAGAGATTCAGAGATTTGGCCATAGAGATAGCTTTAACTGTTTTTTCTACATACCTCTAGGTAGTGGGGCTCATGAGTGCCGTGATGTTGGGGCATGTGGAGTGTCCCACAGAAGCACGGGGGGCTCCCCAGTGCACTTGGCAACAAACCTGGTGGTGGGCCAGAAGCACTTCCGGCCCGCTTCTGGGTCCGCCGGGGAGTGTGCGGACACCCCCCGCCCACCCCTCCTGACTCGGTGACTCGTGCCTCCTGGGGTGGGGGGGCACTGAGGCCGATTGCCAAGCCAGCATATGAACTACTACTGCTACACTTCTGGGTTCACTGCTGAGCATGTGGAGGGCCACCCCCACCCCTGCACTCCTGTGGGATACTCCATGTGCCCCAGCAGCACAGCGATCATGAGCCACACCTGCTACCTCAAGGTATGTAAAAAAAACTTTTAAAGCTGTGTCTATGTCCAAATTGCTGATTCTCCAAATCAGCATCGAATCTTCAGATTCAGCCATATTGACTCAGTGATAGTGATCTAAATCAACTAATCAAATCACTGTCCCTGAGTCAGGCTGAATCCAAATCTCAATCGAATAGGGCCTGCTTTGCACACCCCCAGTGTTTACATATGTGTGGATGTGTCCTCTGGCTGCATCCAAATGAACATGGATGTGGCATTGCTGACCTATCTGTGGCACAACACACTGCAGATGTAGGCGTTGCCCACACAGCTACTTTGCAGCATGGACGGGTTTCTTAAGACTGGGAGATCCCAGGGTCAAAAAAATCCACACCAAAATAAAGCAGGGCGGCGCATATGACAGCAGAGCATATCATTCTGTTCACCAGGGCCCCCCTTGGAGTCACCAGGAACAATGGCCACAAGCTGAGGGAGGATAGGTTTAGGTTAGATATTAGGAAGAACTACTTCACTGTAAGGGTGGCCAGAGCCTGGAATAGGCTTCCCAGAGAGGTGGTGCTCTCACCTTCCCTGGAGATCTTCAAGAGGAGACTGGATAGGCACCTGGCTGGGGTCTTATGACCCCTGCCACCCCCAGTGCTCCTTCCTGCCCATGGCAGGGGGTCGGACTAGATGATCTATCTAGGTCCCTAACAACTCATTGATTCTATGATCAGCCAAAATAAGAACCTGGCCAGCCAGAACCATGTTTCAGTTGCCAGCCAGGTTGCCTGTGGCACGAGTGCCATGGCTACAGCTCTTCAAGGCCCCCAGGACGCCAGGTAAGGCCACTAAGGCCAACATAGTTGCTGACCCCAGCCTCCCTACCCCACCCAGGGTAACATACCATGCGCTGGAGCGCACGTGGCATGGGCGTTCCCTGCAGACAACTAACAGTGGCACAAGGTGTGCCACTGTTATTTGACCCCAGGGAAACACACATTTCTGCTCATGAGGACATGGCCTCTGTATCCATCTCTCATCCTCTCACTTGGGCCTCCTGGCATACTTCCCTCCATGCTTCCTTCTAAATCTCATTGGCTCTACCATCCTTTTTCTCTTCTGTATATTTTCCAAAATCAACTTCTCAGAACCACCAGTACTTTAAAACATTATTAATAATAAATAAACAGTTGAAGTCAAGGTGTAAAGAAGAGCATGGCTGTCTGTGTCAAAGGTGGCTGACAGGTCAAGGCAGTTGAGAATGGAGTCTTGGTTTTGAGCTTTGGCATCAGAGACTTTGGCAAGAGCATTTTCACCTCACTCAGGGAGCAAAAGCACAAGCAAAGGAAAATTAAGTTATATTTTGCCAATTTCCTTTTAGCAAAAATCAACAAAAGCCTGTGCAGAAAATAGCGAGGGCAGGAGGAGAGTTTGAAGATCAAGTCAAAGGTGGCAAGGAGCCAGCTGGGACTGCAGGCTTGGGATTCAATTAGCTTGGAGAAGTAGGGTCATTTAGCCAAAAAAATGGCAGAACTGAAAGTGGGGAGATTAGATCTATAGTGGAGAAACACCAATGGCTGCAGGTTTCACACCACAATGTACAAGAAATGGATATCTGAGGTAAGCCAAGATGCAGCTGGCAGAACACCCCTTACAGCAAAGGAAAACTGGAAAACAACCCC